TGATTTTGAGCCAAGCCCAGATTGCGACACACAAGGACTAAGATACTAAGATATCACAAGGGTGTCCCCTCAGGAAAGTAGTTTATAGCCATGAGAAGCCAACTAACCCGAGGCAAACCGCAGACAGCTAGAACCTAAGCAGGCTGAACGTCCGAACACAGTTGCCATGTTCCGTTTTTGTTTTTTGCCCGAGGGTTTGACCCAGCCAACCCACCCGAATTGCTTTTAGATGAACCCCATTCTCTGGTTTCGATCTTGGAGCCCAAGCTCACCAGGCACACCCAGATGAAATCCAGTCATGTTGACAGCCCAGCGGGGCATCAGACCACTTTCGAGGGGCGATGGCCAGAAAGGTTTTTGCACTTACTCAAGTGGCCAATATCGGCTTTGGGCGCTGCTCTGTTGGGTGCCCCCAGTGGCCATAAAGGTTTACCACTTCAAGGGCCCAATTTGTACAAGCAGCAGCGCCCAAACCCGATTCCATGGTTCTACTGGATGTTTGGCTGGCTTATAGTAAGGGCGACATAAACATGTTCACCAGCATGCAGAACCGGCGGGGTTCCCCTTTTGGAGACAAGCAAACCAGCCTAATCCCTGTTTGGTCCTAGCAGAGAATGTGGCTGAGTATCCCACCAAGCATGTTTTTTAGGGGTCCACTTGTTGTTGGTATGAGTCTAAGTAAGGTATTTATTCCCACATTCCTTCCTTAGCAAGCAACAACGGAAACAACTTTGCTAAACACCAACTCCTGGTGGCAATTTGCCCTCGGTTCACCTTGTTGTGCAATGGGTGCCAGGTGGACTAGTGGCTTTTTTTGAGCCCGACCAGTTCGACCAGTTCCCTGTTGGGCCATGGCTGGTCTATGCTGGGTCTACGCTGCTATCTCCCTGGTCAGGGGAGATATCCATTTTTCATTTTCCCGAAACTGGAACAGAGATTTCTTTCTTGCCGGGAAACAGGCACCGCCCCGACCGAATGAAGATGCTCATGGCAAGCTTGTTGTTTCTGCCTAGCATGGCTGATCCAACAATAAGTTTCATGTTTGAGGTGCAGGCATTTTCATGGTTGTTGTTGGGTAGCATTTTACATTTTTGCTTATTGTGGTTTAGTGGGAAACCCCCACTAAACTGCTAACATTTGAACATTATTGCTCCCCTTCCAACGTCACCCAAGTCTTTCTTGGACCGCTTTCTTGGTGGCTCCCATCCCCTCAGCTTTTTAGCCTTTCAGTGTTTAGTGGGGGTTTCCATTTTACCCACTATAACTTTTAGCAGGGGATCTGAGGGCAGCCCAGTTTTGCATCCTCTCGCTCCCAGCCAAGGTCCCAGCAGCGACCGTTTGGCGCCGAGTCTGACGCAGTTTGGATGCCTTGGGCCGCAGGGCCCCTCTCCCCAGCTGTCACGCTTGTCGGAGGTGAATTTCAGCGAGAGGCCACTGGACATCTCAGCATGATATACATATATCCGGGTGACCATATACATACATATATATATATATATATATACATAGATACACATTTACAATTATATACATATATATATATATATATATCAATATATATATATATATATATGTGCATATATATATATAAGTGGCAAGAAGCTGCTTAAGCCTGCCCAAAGAGCTCACGGTTTTCCATCGCTGCATTTTGACTGACAAGTGTGACAGCAATGGCTAGCTTGGTTTTCGCGACGGGCAGCCGACGGACCGGGGTTCGCATTCCGGACCCGGACCGGATTCGGGGTGTTTTCCCATGGACAAATGCTAGAGGAGAACTCAGAAGCTACCCCCTTCCGGGCTGAGATTGGGTTTTCAGGACTTCGCGGGCAAAACTTCAAATCCGGTTGACATGTCTTCGAGAATCCGTGCGGTTTTCTCCGCGGGCCCGGCCATTTGGTTCCGGGAATCCCGCGGTGGACTGCTGCATTTCTCGATCTGATGCAGTTGGCTTGGTTTGCGCGACGGGCAACTGCTTTGCGGTCCACTTGGTTGGCAAGACGGGTGATCGCAGCGAATGCCATGCCGAATCCCAAACGGTTTGCGTTCTGCATGAAATAAGCCAGTCAGAGGAAAATATGGCATTTGCATCATCTTGAGCTGTGTGCAATCCATGGCACCTCGCAGACAATCGAAGATTGCAACTCTTGTTTACGCCGAGGTGCTTTGCAGTGAGAATTTGCCGCAAGGCTTTGCACTCTTTCTTTGCCGCGCTGAGCGAGGATGGAAGGAAGGTCACCAACTCATTCAGACCGACTTCCAGATGTCCGCTTTCTGTTTCTGTTCTCCAAGCCGCGCGCAATGCCCTGTGCATGTTTTGGGGTGCCATTCTCATCGAGTTTGAGCAGGAACGGCAGCCAATAGCTTGAACCCTTGCTCAAACTTTCCGAACAACTCATGGACATGAAACAATTGCTTTACCCTTTCACCAACTAACATGGAAGTGAAAAAAGGCCCTTTCCAAGAGGAAAGTAGTCTTTCTACAGGGGTCTTTGCACTTCCATGGAATCGCTGGTGGGAGGGTAATTCTGGGGCATGTCGTTTTCAGAAATGTAATGCTGGCTTCCTGCGTTGCCACGCTTTGCCTGCCTCACGTGTTCGTGCAACTCTTGTGCCGCTTTGGCCTGGGCACTGAAAAAGTGGTCCTTAGAGCCCTGGGCCGAAGCGTCGTGTGTGCCACTTGGCATGACCAGGGCGGGTGTCGTGTGAGGCCCTTGAGATGGTTTGAGGAGTACTGGCCACGACTTCGCCAGAATTTGAGGATTGATGCAAGCCACGATGACACCGTTACGTCATGTTGGGCTTTAAGACAATTCCGGAGACTTGTCCTGGATTAAAGTCGCTCACCAAACTTCATACCAAAGGCCCCACAGTGATTGATAGCTACAGAGACGTGGCCAAGCCCTGCGTAGACCAGACCACACGGCCTTCAAAGCGAAACTCGATGTTCAATTCCCTACTCCTTTTGTTGTCCAGTAGCATGTTAACCGCTGACCAAAAAGGAGGTATTAACGCCGGGAAGTCGGTTCTTCCCTAGATATACCCTAAACACGGTGGGCAAAGTTAGGTTACAACGCCTAATTAGTAGTTTGGATTCGACATCTATATTTGAAGCCTGGTTCTTATAGAGGGCAAATGGGAAACCACACCCCAAGCACTCCATGACCTAAAGAAAGTGGGTAAAGCGGGGATCTTTCACCTTGGCCATCCCTGGGCACGCGAAATTCGACGGAGTCTCTTGGCTTCTCCGAGTGAGCAATGACCGTTCCCAGACACTCCATGTAGTACCCCGGAAAAACCACCCTCATAGCCGAAAAATGTCGGTTTGTGGACGTGTCTGTCTTTTTTGTTGAGGGTACTGTTTTTTTGTGGTCCAAAGACAAAAAGGACACCACTCTGGAGATTCCCTAAGAAAGACAGATCTATATATATATATATGTATCAGCTACATGGAGTGTGTGGGGTTGCTGAATCCAATACCCTGTGAATAGAGATCAGCAAGGTAATTCCATGGCAAGGTTGATTTGACCTGACTCGCCCTTTACCCCAGCGCCGTGGTTTCATTTGTGGGAGAAGAGGCTTGGTAAAAATCGGCAAGCAGCCACAAAAAGGGCTGCCCTTTTTTCCCGCGGCCACTTGGCTTCTTCGGCTGAGTGTTTGGGCAAAGGGCGGCAAAGCCAGACATTTTATGTGATCACTGCATCTTTGTTCCGCTGCAGCGCCCTATTCTGCGGCGCCAGACTGTGACCAGGATACGACCTTTGGCTCTAGGGGTTGATTCCCCCATTCTTTTCAACCATCGCTCGTGTCAAAAACCGGAGCTGTTTCCCCTGGGTTTTTGATGAAAAGAAGGATCCCTGGAAAAAATGGGGAAGGTACCCCTAGATTGGCATGCTCAACGCGGGGAGAGAGGAGAGTGTTGCGGAGGAGAGACCCTAGGTCCCCCAGCTGGGTGCCCTTTGTCACCCCTTTTTTGGGGAGGGCTCCCCTACCAAAATAGACAAAACTGAAGAAAGTTGGTACCAACTTATACTAACCTCTCAAATCTGGAGGACCTAGGAGTCACCGAGCACCCACGCCTGATCGAGTTGCAGCTACTCTCCATGCTCTCTCTTGAAAGTTCGGGGCACTAGGGTGTTCCCGCGAGTCGTTTTGGAAAATCGGAAGAGACATTTTCGGCCCCCGAAGAAGCTCAGATCATTTCCAAGAACCTAAAAGAATCCAACCAGCAGAGGGGGCCTTTGGGTTCCTCCCGAATCGAAGTGCCGGCGAAACCGTTCAGCTCGCGTCAGCTTGCGTCGCTCGCTTTTCGGGCCCAGCCAGCCGCCGTCGATTTCAGCACGGCCGAAGACTGGCTAATTCAGGGTCCCCCTTGGACTGATCGACGCGCTGGCGCTGAAGGAGAAAGGAGTCCGTTGGACAAATTTTGGTATATGTCCAAGTAGGGGGGGCCCAAGGCGGTGGTGTTTCTTTTGGTTTTGTTGGTCCCTCCAAATCACAAGCCCATTTCAAACAACACTAATATGTTTGAAGAGCAAATCTAAGCAATTAAACTAGACAAGATTGATGAATGCAGACTTCATTGACGGGGCCTGCTATTTTAATCTATTTTAGCTGAATATTTACCTGGTAGCTGGTAACCCTCACAACTTCAATCATGGTACTCTAAAATGGGGCAGGCTTTGCAAATTCAGATTCAACAGAACCCAGGGGAGTTGTTCCTTCCATCAATCTGCAGCAGAAGATCCGCACCACTCAACCCCCTTGAAAACTAAAAAAGACCAAACGCTGGGGTTGGTGTGTGTGTGTGTTCAGGGGAGGAGGTTTATCACAAACGCCACGCAGGTCTCAGGACAGGTCCTCAACGTCTCAGAAGACGCTTATGAGAAGATATTCTGAGGGGTCCCTATACTCCTGAGGAGTATTCTGAAGTGATACTTAGGTCGCTTTATTTCCCTATAATTCTGGTCCCTGAACCCCAAGAGTTCCTCGTGGTGTCCCCCAGTAGCCGGAGAGCCTCAAGCGGCGATGACGTGCTTTACCAAGCCGGGCTTCCGGCAGGGAGACGCGCGGACGGAGAGGTGGACGCAGTTGACTGAGTAGACTCCCCTCGGAACCTTTTAGGGGGAGGGGGGGAGGGGGTCGAATTACTAGTCGACTAAGTCTACTAGTCAGGGGTCGACAATGGTCATGAGTCGACTTTGTCGCATTTGGGCTTGGGACCAAGCCCCCCTCAAAGCAACATGGGCGGTTTCCCTTAGGGCTCCCGACAAACACTATGGGGCGCCAAAAAACTGACGTCTCGTTCAGCGCAGCCAAGGAGAAGTTGGATGCCAAAGCAGACCTAGCAGAAGTCGCCTCCGCGCGGGGCTTCAGAGGTCCACTCAAAAGGTGAGCTAGGCTCAGACCCAGGGTGTCTGGATGTTCTTGATACCCTGTGTCTCACTTCAGTGGACCTTAGTCCTTTTGGGTAGACCATTTCAGTTTCAGCGTTTGGGCGCATTTTCCAAGGGTTGAATGGATCTCCGTTCGGAACCCTTTGGACATCATCAGGGGAGTTATGTCCACTCGGCATTGCTTGCGGGCAAAAAGAACGGCGGATTGCACAAGACGACGCCCAATGTGCTCGCGATCCATACTTGCGAATCGGACACTCCCAAGTCCCCATGGTCGGCAAGGATTGACGATGCACCGTTTGTTTGCGAAGTTTCTCAGAACCGAGACTACCAGCGTTCGAGGGAACCATGACCATGGCCCCACAGAAGGAGTGGTCATTTCACATGAGGCAAATATGATGAGGGTGGGCCCTTCCGTTCATCTGAAAAGGATGTTCGAAAGCAAAAAGCAAGCCAGAAGCAATCAGTTAGAGGGTGAAGCCCAATTATTGGCATGGCGAACTGATTGGCTGTTGCTTTCTGATCGATCGGTGACCCTGCTCCGATTCTTGATGGTGGGGAACCCCTTGCTCAACTACTATACTCAGGGAAACCTACAGGAAATGATACAGCAAATTGTTCCCCAAAACAAGTTTTGGATTTCCTGTAGATGTTGAATCCATTTGCACCCGTTTCGAAGATATACGGGGTGTGTGTCCCCGCCTAAAATGGCAACCGCACCGGCTTCCCTTGTGTTCGGCCTTCAAAGCCACCAAAAAAGGGGGGACCACGGTAACTACCACCCAAGGTCACGGATTCAACGAGTCAAGTGGACCAGTTAGGCCCGTGGCATCGAATTCTTCCTGGTGGCCTTTCTCGACCTCAGAGGCAAACGAGTCGAACGAGAGCTTTTGGGGGGGTGTTGAAGCGTGTTTGAGCCAGGGGAAACGCCAAAAGTCAAGCAACAACAACCAAAAAAGGTTTTTTCTTTTTTGTGTTGCTCCCCATGGCCGCTGGATCTAATGATTGCAAATGCGATTGGATCCCCGCCCACCCAAAAAGCAAAAGTAGGCTCAAAGACTCTCCAAAGGAGATGTGCCTGATGTGATGCTCGTTTTTGGCGGTTGGTTTTGTGGGGCATCATACAACCTGCCAGACAAAATCTTAGGAAAGGGATGTTTTTTTGTTTTGTTTTGCTGCTTTATCGGTCAGAGTGGATTCGTGGCATGTGAGCGACTGATCACACCAGTGGTTTGGCCCACCCGAATTTCCCCGTGAAAACCCGAGCGCCCACACATTTTCCGATTTGAAAGGAACACGCGTAATTTTTGTTTAGGGCTGTGATGGTCCAAAGTTACGTCTTTTTGTTGGATTTTGGTGACCCGGCAAATTCACCGGGCCAGGTGTGCTGCGCACGAAGATGGTGCCGGCCAGCGCCATCAAGCAGATCCAGCGCGACGGAGAGAGTCTGAGCCAAGGGAATCGACCGGATTTGACCTTTTGGTTTTCCTCTTTTGGTCCATTTTCACCCAGGTCAAAAAGGCAAATCCTTGGGGCGAGAGAGAGGTTAGGGGACACTCCCCCACCGTGGGCAAGTTATAGCGAGGTCACATTTCGCAAGGTTGCGACGGCCGTGAAGGCTGGTTTTGGGGGTCCCTGAGTTTTGGTTGGGGGAAGCAGATTGGGCGCAGCCGGCCTTTTGGCCCGTTCCATGTCATGATTCTCGTGCGAGCGCCTGGCGCCTCCAGGAGCCGGTTTTGCCCCCGCGGCCACTTGGCTGGACTTCGGCCCCCACGCGGCGGATTTGTTGGTGGTCCCCGATGCCAGCTCCCTCTTCCAGGCTCGGGAAGCCACAGAAGCTTCGGTGGCGTCACCTGGGTATGGGTCAAAATTGAACCACCAGGGGACCGCAGGTTTTAATCCTTCTTTCCATTTACCGTTCCATTTGCGGTACCCATATGTGACCCACACCCACCTAGTGAGGTTGGTTGGCTGGTTTGTTTCAGTTTGGTCCTTCTCAATGTAGGGCCTGAATCGATTGGTTCCATGTTGGTTCCCTTGCAGGGCAAGCGGGGTGGTGCATTCTGACCTCAGCGACCTCAGCCCGTTGCTTTCAGGGCCCAACACTAGTCCCTACGAGTTTGCTCTTTTTTGCACACCTTCCAAGGATACAGGTGAGAGTAAATCCACATTTGTTTGCCCACTTTGGTTCAGTCATCCCCTTTACCCACATCTACTTGTGCCATCTACTTTCATCCATTTGGGCCCCTTTTGCTTGAGACGTGGAGCTCCTTTCAGGGCGCACTTGGCGCGAATCGATCAAATCGACACCCATCGCCAGGTGCCTTTTAGCCCTGAGCTGGCTATGGTCATGGGCGACTCTTTCATCGACGGTCCACTGGCATTGCCAGAAGTCTTACCTGGCGGTTGTCGATTGTTGCTGGGTGCGGGTCCCATGTTTTGCTTTTTTTAAAGGAACGCCAAAGGAACACCCACCATTTTGTGGGTCCCATAAAAAAGGGCACCCACCCGTTTGCATCCTTTTTGCTTGAACAAACACTAGACGAGGGAAGCTGGACAATCCTTCCACTTGGTTTGTTTGGGGTCCTTTCCCGCCCAAACTGCAAGCTGACTGATTGTAAATGGTGAAGCATGTGCGCCCAAAACACCTGCCCTCCGTTGTTCTACTGCCAGGTATTTTGGTGGTGATAGTAAGGCCTACATCAACAATACTGTGGATTGACAAAATCTTGCACCACCTTGAAAACCGTATAGTTTGCTAGAATTTGCAGGGCAATAATCCTTTCAGGGTTTCTTAGGTAAGTGCTGGATTCCGATCATCGGCTGTATTGGTCAAACCCAAAGATGAAACAAACACAAGTCAAATGTGTTTTGGGCACTGCGCGCGTGAAGTTTGGAAGGCTCTGAACCGAGAGAAGCTTCAGTTCTGAAAGGGGTTATGTTGTGTTCTGTAGGGTGTGACTTTTGTAAGGGACCCCCCAACATGGCAACGGTGTCCTGTCGGTTTCCCATTAAAACAAGGGGTTTCTATCAGAAAAAAACAAAAAACACTCACGCACGCATTTCTCATTGGTTGTAAACATCGCCTGTTTGGCCCATGAGTTTCTCGAGGCTTTAAGAGGAGCGGATGTTTGGCCCTGCTGGAATCCTTTGCCACTTCTTGCGTGAATCTACGTGTGCGTCCTTGACCACTATCTTCACACCTGTGAAGCTACCTGGACCCAAAGGAACGAGCCGGATAAAAATGGTTCCCGCTTTCTGTTTGGCCGCGATGGTGGCAGATGCACTTGAAGTTTGAGTCACTGACAGTGTTGGCAGGGTATCCACTTTGGCGCTCCTACACATAAAGACCCAAGCATCAGGTTTGGCGGATTCTTCCTTGAGGGACCCTCTTCTTGGACTCTAGGCGCAAGAAATGGACTTGAAGATGAAAATATCGAGATGAGATTGAACTTAAGTTTATGACCTGCCACCCAGCCAGGTGTTGGAAGGGGTCAAACACAAGAAACATGCCATAACAAACCCTATGCACACAAATTCAATCCTTACCTATGCCCGCATGTCCATACAGGAGAACACCATCTCCATCTCGCCATAAACAGAAAGCCCAGCAATCCAAAGGCTGTGTCTACCTAGGGTTTCTAAGCAGGGCCTGTTTCCTATGACATCCTTACCTATGCCCGCATACCCGAACACACCATGTGAATCCGAAATAAAACCATCTCCGTTTTCTCAAGACATTCCACGCCAATTGCAAGCCATCTCAACCAATGGCATCCCATTTTTGGGGGCAGGTGAATGCACCACCCATGTTAGTACCTGTCTATTTATTTTAGGTGGTTGGCTTGGGTCATCCCACGGCCGCCTCTTCGGGACGAGTTCCGAGGACGGGAGGTGCTGCAGTCCCCGCGCGCCGTGCTGAAGGCCCAGGTGGCCGCGGCCGCGGCGCGGGGCTACGTCTTCAAGTCCGGCGTGGAGGCGCGGCCGGCGGCCGGCGGCGGACACGGGCGAGCGGGGGCGGAGACGGGGCCCGGGGCGGCGGCGTCCGGGTGGGGATCCCTTGGAAGGGAAGCAACAGGATGGTTTTGCCCCGACAAAGAAGACAAAGAGAAACAAAAGTGGGACCCAGGCTTTAAAGGAAACCAACAGTTTTCCTGTTGGTTTTGTTTGGAACTTGGTTAGTAAAGATTCTGACACATTCCATTTGGTTTGGTCAAGGCGCAGGTTGTGGCCAGGCGGAGTTCTTCATCTTGTCCTCCCAGAAGGAAGTGGCACTCTCGGACGAGCGCGACACGCAAAGCAAACCCTGCTGACACTCGTCGCATCCGGCTGCACCGTGTGTAGGGCGTGTCTCTGGGGTGACTTTCATTAGGGCGCCCACCTTTTCCCCCACCTAGGCGACTTCGCCTGCTCCGGAGTTGGGCTAGGGGGGCTTGCTGCTGGGGATGCCGCATTATGTGTTTATTGGTTCCATCTTCAGCGGGTAGAAGGGTACGCTCAAAGCGACGTGCTGCCTGCGCTGAGACGACGCGCAGTCCATGATGCGGAGAATCGACCTCCTCACAGATATTGCCTGTGGCTGAGTAGCTCTCATGTCAGCGAAAGCTGGTGGAGGGTGCAGGGTGAAAGTCGACGGTTATCCCAAATCGGGGACCCCTTTTTGGACGGTAAAGGGAGCCAAAAGGACACCACCTGGAAAGGCCCCCAATTTGAGAAACGCCCAGCAGTGCAGCAGCTCCCAGACAGGACTCGGGCTCAAGTCAAAAGCGTGCGTGCTCGGCTTGCTAGGCGGAACCCAAACTGACAGCATTGATTGGATGGAGCCAATGAAGACTAGACGCGCCATCTACTTTCACCTAATTATACACGTGGGTATGTGTCAACGTAGACCCCAACAACTCATGGTTTTCCTCTTGTTTCCCTGGAAACCAACTCAGGGGTGCCTTCAACAAGTGGACACACCGGTGTTGGTCGCTCGCTATGAAGCGAAGGTCAAGACGCTGAATGCCTGCGGCTTCGGCGTGTACCAGACAGATCATGAAGACGCCAATGGCCAGTTTGAGATCAACTGGCACTACCAGGAGACGTGCCACAGCATGGATTCGCTGTGGTTTTTGGTTTCCCTGTACACCAGCCCCCAAAAGGGTACCCTCAAACAAGACACCCATACA